AGGACCATATGTTTTTATTTTCCAATGTAGGACCTTTAGCTTTGGTCATTATCAAGTAGTCATTATTCAACTAAATGTCCATCATTACTGGACATTATTCCTTCCACTAGGTCATTATTAAGTCCTATTTAGGGAATAAAAAAGTTTAGTCCCCTGAAATTTCACATCATTATTAAGTCCTATTTTAGGGAATAAAAAAGTTTAGTCATATTTAGTGCAAATTTTACATCTTTTACAATGCCTGAAAACCAACTTCTTCGTTTTTTACATTATTCATCATTTAAATTTTAATTTTTTTAAAAAAACAAAATGCATATAATTAAAATAAATTATAAAAATACTAAGATTGACATTTTTTATTAAAAAAAGCAACGATATAAAAGACGAAATACATTAAAATATAATTAAAATGTAAAAGCAAACGAAAAACATCGAAATGTAATACAAAATGCATGAAAATTAATTTATAGGGTTGAAATAGGATTGAAAATTAATTTGCAGTGGAAGATGTAGAATATTCGATATAATTTTTTAATACATAAATCCTTTTAATTATTTTTATACTAATTTTTAAATAAATTAATTTAAAAAATGTAGGACTTTGCCTCATAAAAAAGAAATTGTATTTTTTAAAAAGGAATAAAGGCTTTTATCAGTGAAAAGCAAGCAGGCTACAAAACTATGCAGAGAAGAGTCCCACAAACCCGGCCGAACTAAAGCGCGTCTAGCCAAAGTATGAGCAACAACATTCACATTTCGACTTAAATGACACCTTCAAACAACAATTTATCAACACTAAACAGGAATCAAGAATTAACCCCAATTAAGTAAACTCCTGCCCTATATGAGCCATCGAACCTACATCTCACAATCGGAGAAGATCTCCACATCCTACTAGAGACTTTAGCTATGCCATAGCTTTCTTACATGCAAGTGCTTCCCAGTTCCGCCCTCAAAGGCTCTAAGTCTCCTCTTTTTTGTAATCTAATTTGAAAATTATGGAGAGACTATATATTAAGGATAATTCCATATAATTATCCTCTGTCCAGATTCAATGTACCTAGTCTCCGTATTATCCCCTTCCTTTGTAAATACTTTATTCTTGTATTTATCTCTTGTAAGTAGTAGTTGGTTAGGAGTCTCTCTTTGTATCTATTTAAGCACCATCATGTGAATAAAGTAAATTAAGTTGTCTATACTAGTATACTCTATATATCTCAATAATGCATTCCTTCAAAAAAAAAACTCAAAAATACTTGTAGGCAGGCCAACACGTAACTGCCATCAAATAAAACAACTACACAACATTGTTTACATAGTTAGTATCCCATGTTCCCTTTGAACTCTACTCACTATACATTATTATACGGAGTAGCAAGGATTAAACAATATAATTTTTTAAAGTAGGTTTTGAAAAAATTTATTACGGAAAAATAAGCAAATAAGAGTATATATAACCATTTTTTATGGTAGGATATAAACAAAATGTTTTCGACATGTTTTCAGAGTTAATTTTTATTTACAATAATAATTCTACTTCTGTTCTTAATTATTTTTCCAGTTTTGATTTTTTATAATAAAAATTGATAATTTTGGCTATTAGTAGAATAAAATTAAAAATAGGTATTGATACAAAAAATAATTTTATTAGATTTAATTTATTGTCATCACGCATGTCATTTGTCGCTGCAGTGACATCGACCACTACAAGAGAAAAATACTAAAATATGAATAAAACATAGAAAGTGTACCAAAATAGAAGTTCTATGTTTTCATTTCCAAAATACGAGTTACAATGCAAATATAATCTCAATCATCTCAATATATAATACCAAAATATATTGTTAAATGTCTATATACAGTGCAACATTATCACAATAATGCAAACTCTTGTTTTAGGAAAAAACAAGAAACTCCTATTTTGCCATTTTGGTATGTAATTTTCTAGGTTTTATTTTTATTTAGGTTAGTTGATTTCTTTGACTACAATGCTATATATAACTCCCTAGAATGCCTCCAGACACGCAAAGACATCACCCCGCGCCGGCACACTGGCAGATCTACGCCTAGTGTACCGGACTATCGTTGGACCCACCCCAAGTCATTTTTTTTAAATATACAGTTTAGAAAAAATAATTTTTTTATAAATTAAGTGTGTTTCCCCAATGAAAAATATTATGTTCCCCAATAAAAAATAAAAGTATAGTCCAAAAGAAAAAATAACTTTTAAAATAGAATATAAAAGTAAAATATATGTAACATTATATCTATATTAAGTTACGATATATTTTCTTATTATACTTTTATACTTTTAAAGTAATTTTCTAAAACTTATTTGAGTACTTGTTTAATATAATATAAAAATCACTTACTTTTCATCATTTTAAATTGTCATTTTAAAAAAAATTAGGGGCACTGCCCACGAACCCCAGTCCTTCCTAGTGCGTACTATAATGGTGCCCCAGCCATATTATTCACGTATCTGCCACTGCCCCGTCATTGCTATCGACCACCGCAATTAAAAGTCATTGTTGTTATAATTATTCAAAACAATTCATAACGTTATTCCTTTCATCTCAAAATAATCGGCTCACTTCGAACAACGTTTAAAATATCATCTCTTTTGAAACTATTTTATCATATTCATATAGAAATAAACAGTACTACAAATGACCTATTTCAGAACTATATTGAAAATTATATAAAACAATATTATTATGTTTTATCAAATAATCAATAAAATATACAAATAAACAAAAGTTATCAAAATAGTATCTGAGGCGATTATTTTGGATCGTCTGAGGGATTAATAAGTACTCTGTATTTGACAACACTCAATACTATCTACCACCACAATTGCCAAAACACAAACATCACTATTATGTCATTAGTGATATGATGGTAATGTACCATCGAACAAATGAGTTGATGTTGGAAAACTGTGGGTGTACAAAATCTTAATTAATCTTCGATACGAACAAAAAAATGAAATGCTGAATTGATTGGATGAACCTCTAAGTGGGAGAATTGTAAGGATGTGGAGGGACATGTTACATAGTTACATTTGATGTATTGTCAAAATCTTGTTCAATTCACCAGATTCAATTCAATATTTATCATGTTACGCTGTGCCTTTATTATTGTCTGTGTAACTCTTTTATACAATTGTAAGATCTATGAGGCTCCGTTTGGTACACGGAATTCAAACTATGAAATTGGAATTGAGGACTTCAATTCCAATTCTCATGTTTGGTAGCGTATAAATTATGTGAATTTAGAATTGGTAGTGCAAAGAATGAACTGGAATTGGTGAATTCAATTATATAGAATTGAATCTCATGGAATTTTAATTCTAATTCAATTCTAATTCCATCAATTTCGTGTACCAAACGGACCCTGAGGGAAATCCTACCTCTCTCACATACTCCGTAAAATTTTTCTACTCCCTCCGTCCACAAATAAACTTCCCGTTGCGCGTTACGATGTTTGACTGAAGTTATTTTCAAATCATTTTATATGAAAAATAGTGTAAACTTTAAAAATAAAAATCACATATTAAAAACTATATCAAAAGATCTACAAAACTAGAGGTGACATGACTATATTATTTTATCAAATGGGTGATGAAAATAGGCCAACAAAGTAAATAAAGCTTAACCCTGTGAATAGTGAACGAGAAATTTATTTGTAGACGGAGGAGTATTTTTATGGAATGATATCAGTGATGTTGTGATCTTTTATTTTTTCAAAAAGCTCAATTCATCCAAGGCATTTATAAACTAAGATCCATAAAATGAGTGTACCTTAGGATCATGAAGAATTTGCTTTTAAAAAATGTTTAGTTATGATGTTACTTATAATTTTATTCTTATTTTATGCTCTCTTCGTCCCATTTTAAATTTTCTGTTTTCCTTTTTTGTCCATCCCAAAATAAGTTGCATGTTTTCTATAATAATAAACTTTTAAGGGTAAAATACCTTAACTACCCCTAAAAGAAGTCACTCCTCTTCACCTTATTTTCTTATTCATCATCACCCCCGTAATAAAGTAAGACATTTTTGAAAAATCAACACAACTTTATTTTTGAAAAATCAACACAACTTTTTCTCTTATTTAAATATACTCCAAAGTCAAAACCGGTAATATAAAATGGGACGGAGGGAGTAGTGGGGTGGGATATGATGTGATAAGTAAATTAATAGTGATTAGAAAAATCACTTTTCTTATTTTGAAATATGAAGTAATAATTCGTTATATACTGAGTATAAATATTTTTTTAGTATAAATATTTGATAAAATCCTTAAGAATACTGTATATACAAGTAATAAATAAAATCAATAAATAATCCATAAATGGAGTATATCCCATGTCAAATTAAAATTTTCATTTATTTTTTCACAACGATTAAAAAAAGTAAAATTGTGTAAAATGTATCCGGAAGACAAAGTTGTGGATCATTCATTATTTTCTTTAGAAAAAATAAAAGTCAAGATAGAAATTCACCACGGTGGGCAATGTGTGGTGACGGATCCAGAAAACCAAAGGTCCGGGCTCAAGAATTGGGCGCGGTCCAAGGGTATTTTTTCCCAGAAAAAAATTTGAAACAAAAAAAGAAGTTAAATTTTATCTTAATATTATAAGTTATTAAACATGATTTATAACCAAGCAAATAAACCCTTAATTTTAGAAAAAATACATAAATAAATTACTAAAACTAATTTTTAATTAAAGTGTTAAAATGTTAGGCACTAGTGTTTTTATTTTATTTTAAAAATGGGTAATAAAACTACTAATTACGGGGTTTTTTAAAAAAAAAAATCCACTAGGAGCAAGTGCTCCCATTGCCACACTATTGTATATGCCTCTGACAATGTGTGTGAATTTGTAAACACATAATTACATAAATGATAATTATCTATAGACACACAGAGTTTATAGACAATTATCGTTTGTGTGTACAAATTCATAAATTATTGTCATCAGTAGTGTCAACCCAGGTAAATTTCTAACATTTTTGTTATAAACCAAAAAGAAGCGGGCAAGGCCATTTCAAGTTCTTTCTCCGACGGGGAGAGAGAGAGAGGAGATTATCTGCATTTTGGGAAGAAATGACAGAGCAGTGGTGTCTTTTCAATCAAAGAAAAATACATGGGGGTAACAGTATAGTTAAACCCAGATTCACATGAGGGCCATGCAGATATGTACCCCNTTTTTTTTAATCACAAGTTTGGCACTACACTCTTTGCAAATTTATCACATACAAAGAAAAAAAAAATCATTTTTTCATATATATGATATATGCTAGAAGTGTGATGTCAAACTTGGGGTAAAAAAAATGGGATATCCCAAACACGACTCGTGTTTCATTTCTCATAATTTAAGAAAGATATTAAGGATCATGTTGCAGTCACACCGGGTTCAAGATAAATTTTTGACATCATGTATTTCACATAGACAATTATTGCATGTGCATATCTGTGAAATTTAAAGTGTCAAACTAATGATAATTTATCCAAAGATTCAGTAGAAATCAGTTTGGACCATACGACAGTCACACCAAGTTTGATATCAGATTTTGACATCATGCGTTTCTTAGACATGCACAAACAATCAATATCTATGGGCACACATACATGTTTGTGAAATACATGGTGTCAAACTTTAACATTACAAAAAATTTACCCAATCAGTTAGAAGAAAAGTAAAAATAGTTGGTCATTGTTCTATATGAGAGAAGTGTAAGTTAATTTTAGAACAATAAAAAAAAAGTGAAACAGTTTGTTTGAGGATGGAGAGAGGACACTCCTAATGCTTCTGTTCAACTTTACTGTAATCTGACAAGTATAAGACCTAATATGGATCAAGCAGTTCTGAGTCATGTGGGAGGGGGGCCTCTTTCCACTAATTCACCAATGGGCCCACCCTCCCAATCTGCTGCAAAATGCCAAAGTGTTAAATCCAAGTTTCCCATCCCAACTACCCATGTGTATGCACTACACTCGTGTAATGTCTCTACTATGCCCAATCGTGACGTTAATGCATGTTTTTATAAAAGGTGGTGTGTTATACTACCCATAGAGAACCATAGCTTTTGTAATTTGAAACAAGGTAACATAATTGATGGTTTGGTAGAAATGAAAGTATAAATTTCTATGGGTGATTAGTTCAGGGGTGGGGTGGGGGTGGGGTGGGGTGGGGAGATAGGGAAAGAAAAGAAGAGGGTTTTTTAGTCACCTTTGTTTTGTTGGAGGGAGGGGTCAGGGGATGGGGTGTAGAGGAAAAGAAGAGAAGAATTGGCTTGAGGTGTGTGATTGGAAGAGTATTGAGAAGAGGGGAAAGAAATGTTGAGTCTCCTCCAACCCAAAATGCTCAAAAGCTTCTGGGAATGCCGAATCCGCGTTGTAATACACATAAAAGGTGGGCATAAGTCTGGTGTGAAAACGTGTGATATGCACATTTAGACCGCATTGGATAGCACTGCTGGAATTCTTTGTTTATCAGTGGAATAAACCGAATAAATAACTATGGACACAGCGAAAATCAATCTTGCCAAATGCTTTTCCTTTAAAAAAGATACCCAACAAATACAGTCATTTAAATGAAATACCCCTTACCAAAACGGGCTCATAGTAAATAGTTGTGGCACACTTAGGTATTCAGCATTGCACACTCAGATGGTAGGCTGACATGTGAGGTATACCTTACTTGAACCTGTTAGGTAGATAAATAAAATGGTTAAAGTTCAATGCCTTCATGAAATTTCTCTCCCATTTTTAACTCTCAGCTTGAATTCTCTTTTTCAAGGTTCTAAATTTCAAACAGGTATTATTAATAACTTCGTAATGCGTATAACCATGCCTCCGAGAAAATATAACGAACTACTTACATTACTGTAAGAAGTGTGGGTCAAACGAGAAAAGACTCCTTTGTGTGTCTGTGGCATTTGCCAACCATCTGCAATATAGCAATGCGGCCATAACTACTGAAAGGACAGAGAGCATTGCTAAAAACCCAAACTTTGAGACATCGTTTGCAAGTATAGCGACCCCAAACATTATAGATTCTGCCAAGCTTGCAAAAGAAACCTCTGTAGTTCCAATGAGGTTTGCTTTCGATGCTGGGATTCCAGTTTGTAAGATCTGTGACCCTAAAATATCATATGACATGTGCCCTAATCGTGATAATACCTGCCAAGAGTAAATAGAGCACCTCTCATCTTACAATCCAATGAAGACAAATCATGGCTCCAGCCATACTATATAGGCATATTAGCTGGGGTTGAAGAGATCAAACATCAAGTGAAAAGTGTTCAATAAATAAATAAATAAATAAATAACCCCCCTGTCCAGATTAAGTTGCCCATGTTTGCTTTTTGCAGCGTCCAGATTTACTTGTCCACTAGATAATATTAGCATTGTTTCCACCAATGACATGTTAATTTAAAGGAGTTTGTTTTTAAATATCATTTTACACCAATTTCTTAAATTTGAGGTATTTTGAAAAATGGACACTTAAATCGGTAAAATCCAAATGAATGGAGTAAATAACAATTCCACATATATGAGAAATAGAACAACTAACAGGTGATGTTACTTAGAAGTAATATTACTAAAAGAGATAACCATGATAGCAGGCAGAGAAACACTAGTTAACTTATGTGGCATACGAGTGCCTAAATTTTGCTGACTAAGTTCCAAGTGGGAATAGGTAATCATAATCAAATTTGACATTTAGCTAGATTCAAAATTTTGGTACAACCTAGTAAATCCTAAAAGTGGGATCTGGGAGACGTCTGTACACAGACCTTATCACTACCCGTTAGGATAGAGATGCTGTTTTCGGAAGACCTCTGAAGACCAAATCTTTCAAAAATTTGGTTTTTGATATCAGTTATCGTATTCTAAAAGATCAGTTATTTGGTTTATTTGAAAATTTTCAGTTTTAAACTTACATGAAAGTTGATGACCAATGGGTGATGCTTTTTTAAACAAACAACAACATTATCCCAGTGCCTCAAAGGCTCCCACCCATTGCGAGGTAAGGGGGGTCGGATGTATGCAGCCTGACCACTATGTTTAGGACATAGAGCGGATGTTTCCAGATGACCCATGATGAGCATCGATAGTTGTATTGACTAACTGCTACTTCGCTATCAAAAGAAGCACATGTAGTTTAAAGAGCCATTTTGCTTTATTCCATCATACTCCAAAGCCAAAAAAAGTGAATCTTTGGCTCCATCAGACATGATGGAAATAGGTGATGCTTTTTTTAAACAAAAAATAGCTGTAATAATAGAAAGAGATAACCAACTCACTATCAGACCCAAGAAGAAGAGAAGTTGTGTCTGCCGAGTAAGGGATCCAGTCCTATAGACAACTACAGCGGTGCTTAAAAGTGATGCCTGCAATATCAGAGAAGCTGCTCCAGCCTGTAGAGTAAAAAAAAAAAGACATGGTGACGCTTCAAATAATAGCAGGAAAAAAGCTTCACCTAGTAAGTAGCAACAGATAGGCAAATTTGGAAAGAATGAAACCTTTAAGATGCCAAATCTCTTGACCATCTGCGCAGACCCAAAAGTAGCTGCAATTCCCATGAATGCACTCAATGCACTAAAGCTTCCTATGATGGATGGATTTAGGCCTGAAAGAGCCTCTCATGACAGGTTCAATGGAACCCACCAAAGTACATCAGAGTTTGGGGGTAAATGATGTAAAATAACTTGGAAATTATTTTCCCTTTAAATTGTGAGCCAAAAACTATTCATTAGAACGAAAATATATGCAAGCCCACATTATAAGCATATTATGGTAAGGGAGATCTTAACCACAAACATTTGTTATGTTTCCTTCGTAATTAAGCTCGTGATATTTTCAGCCCGCAAAATGATGTTGCAAGACGTAAAGTGCATATAAATCAAGAATTTAGTCAACTATATAATGTTTTAGAAAAAAAAACCCCAAGTCGACGTCAAATGATAAGCATCTATAGGTAGATGAAGCTTAAATAAAACTTGTAAGTTAAAGAGATGCTACCTCCATCTGTAAAAAGGTTCCACATTTGACTGAGCATGATTGTTAATCAAGGTTAAAATTTGTGATTGAGGGTTATGCTCACGAGAGAGAAATAATATGAACCACATATTTGGTACAAACCAAAAAGGGAAGTGAACTCTTATTTTGGTACAACCCAAAAAGAAAGGTGGAACCTTTTTCCGTGACATAGGGAGTAAGTTATATCGCAATCAGATCTACACTCATCTGCCCAGCCCAGTCAGCAACATCAGATAGAGAAAAATAGATAACAAGAAATGAAATCTAGAAAATACCACGCTGTGTTAAGAATGCAGTCATTAAACAACCGGGAGCAAGAACAACATTGAAGCATAGTAACACAGAAGCTATGCTTGCTGGAAGAACAGGCTGCTGGATATATTCAACCCACCCATGCTTGATGGCTTTTAGACTCATCCCCGCTGCAAGTAGAAATAATAGAATCAGCACAAACTCAAGATAAGAATCAAATCCAAGTGCAACAGATATTAGCTAAAATTCACCTATACTTTCAGTATCCAAAAAAGAATCATTGGAGGGGTAAGTGCAGCAAGCTTGTATAGATTTAGCACGGTCAAGAACCCCATGAGAAAGTTTGTTGGTTAGCCATGTTGAAAGGATCTAGAAAACGTACGGTTAAGATCTCATATTAACATCAGAATTTCATGAAATAAATATCCCAAGTCGAACTGGGATAACTTACCACAATAGGCAATGCTCCTATCATTAAAGTAGCGGCAAACCCTAAGCATTTTACAGGCTCATATCTGGACAGAAAGAAGCCAAAGAGTGCTGCTCCAGCAACCTGATGACAATGACCATAAACCATGTTAGTGCCGTGTAATGAACTCTTTTCATTTGTATAGTGAGTGCAAAAGAAGTTTCCTGCTTAAGAGTATTAACGTTAGGCCTTTCCAAGAAGAGAATCAGAAACATGAATGCTAATCACCTCACACAAGAGATCAATTCGACTAAGAATAGCATTTGCTTGAGCAAGAGCAACTGGCCGATTGGTACCTGCTAACTATGGGCAGATTTTGCACACATAAAATAAACACACTCATAATCAAGAATAGATGAATGCTTAATCTAGTAAGTCAAAAGGAGATTTGTGCACTAGAATGCTACAGAAATGAGGATTATGTAAAACTACCAAAACAACCCAATCACGTTCAACAGCAACCCCCAGAGCCAGTCCAGATAGCCTTTCAACTGCCCCAGCAAAAGCAAGTATAGCAAACCAAGGCCGGAAAAGAAAGTTTGAAGATGTGTCATGGAAGCTGTGGGCATGAGTGATCACTAAGACTGATAACAGCTGAGCAACTGCCTGACATAAGAGAAGTATTCTTGAAAGCGTTCTTTTTGAGAAAGAAATAAACCTGCATGTAACATGGAAGAAAATTGTACCTGAACAATGGTCAGACAATTAAATGCAGGTACCCTGGGAAAATGATCCATAAGCTTGCCAACCACTGGACCTCCCACAATGACAGCAACCTATCAAAAGGGAACCGGTAATACATTAGCCCTAACCATCAGACACTTTCTTTTAGCAGTTAATAAATAGTTATACCTTAGCAGCAAAACCCATTGCTGCAACAGGGAGAAGACTTGGATGAAGCAATGCAATTGCAGCAGGCGAGGCAAACATCCAAAGCTGTTCCACTAAGTTTCCAGCCAGGCAACTGGCATATAAAGCTGGTTGAATATATCAAATCTAGTCAGAACCTAAATACGGAGTAATTAATATTGAAACGCAAATCAATCAATATTTTACAATGAGACATACTTATTGATCAGTGATCTATTTGCTATGCAGGTATGCAGGATTTTCTTCGACAGATTATAGAAGTGTAACAGCCACAGGTGATTGAATTTGGTAGCTCCACATATAAAAGTATTGAGTCTATTACCTTGAGAGATAATGGTAATTTTGAGAGGCTGAATTGTTCAAGGACTTGTACACAGGCAATAAATATTTTACTATGCACAACACCAGAAAGTGATATGTGAGTTGACCACATTTGTAGGGATATATTAACCATGCATGTACATTATTTACAACTTACTTTGTCCTTCATATAACCATAGAGAGTGACTCTATGTTTTCTGGTTAGTTGCCCAAGAAATTAGAATATAGAGTTTGGGAGAACCTAGCACCACCATTTCTAATGGCGTTTTAGAAAAACTCTACATCTCATAATATTGTGTTTATATTTATTTTGCCATGTTTCCAACTCTTACTATCACTTACAATTACTCTCCCATGTTCCTTTATCTGAGTCATGTCACCTAAACCCGAATAGAAAAACAAGGATAGAGAAACAAAATCAGAACAACCATTATTTGTTGTTCATTACTTCATCGTAATGTGGCACGGTCCCAATTCCAAATCCATGAAAGAAAGGTGTTGGAGTGTAAAATTAGTAAATTAAATAAAGATGATTGTGCTCCATTTTGATATGTTTGGCGCTAGTAATCCTCGTTATGGGTCTGTGAGCTAAGGAGGAAAAACGCCGGCCTTATGGTGAAGGAACAAAAACACAGGAATGAGGGAGAGACGATCAGCTCCCAGAAGGAAGAAATACTTTTTGAATTCTTTATTCCATTATAATCATAGCAGATAATAATTGCCTTTTTGTATAGAGTCTTACATTCTTAGAAGCAGAAGGGGACTTCATTATAGAATCTTTACCAAATAACTAGTTTTATCCCTTTTTACTAGTTTTGTTTGTCCCACTATTTTTTGGCACATAACATATTTGGTAACATTTGTATGGTCCCATACCATATATGGTGTGCAGCTCGAATTGATCTACTTCCATTTTCACTTCAATACCAACCACACAATTCCAACTTTCTTAGTTTGTGTACCACCACTCCATGTCACAAAATAGTGGGACGGGTGGATGGAATGACAGTTCAAAGAGAGAAAGTACAAACCATATAACCCAGCTGGATGAGCAGGAGTTGCAGCAATAATATTTTGCTCCTCTTCTGATAAGACCTGGCGTATATAAACATTGAAGGGTCGGTAGAAGTGATTATGTTATTATATTTGAAATAGAAAGAAATAAAGGATGTAGTGTAATAGACACATACATGAATTGCAGTCAAAAGAGTGTTCACATATGCTCCCTCAGCCAAGAGATTCAATGCTTCACCCTCCAGAATGTCAGATTTGATATTTACAACAGGAACTGTATATTTACAATCAGGAGATTCAAAATTCTCCTCAACTTGTGTATCAGTTGTGTCAGTAAGAACTACGTTTGCTATTGAACACCTAGATTTGAACGTAGCAACCCTGCGTCTTCATCATTTGAAAAGTAAGAACACCAGCATTTGTTATTGAACACCTAGCTGTAAACTTAGCTACTGTGTAGCAGCAACAACAACCCAATATAGCCATAGTTTGGGAACAACGTTCTTTTATTAGCGTTAGCGTTTTGGATAAAATTTTAACGGTGTATATTAGCTTTAAAAATGTTAAAGATAAACATTGCCGTTAGATAGCCTTTTCAAAACTCTAACTCTAAATTCTAACGCTACTGCCAAACAAACCCATAATCCCAACTCCGTTAGAGTCTGGGGGTCAAGATGTACAATCTTACACTGTAAAACAAAGAGGCTCTTTTTGTTAGACCATAGATGCATTGTTGCATTCACTGCCCAAAACTTCTTTACAGTAAGAAGCAAGGGAAGTAATATTCTAATTTGATTTAGTACATTGTGTGCCTAAAATTAAAACATCGTCAATAATGACTCTTTTAGCTCCATTGATAATGGACAAAAAATGAGCTATCCTGCAATTAAGGAATATTATTAGTGCTAAGATCCAAAGTCAGGAGGGAAACAGCCCAGATTGTATGCTAAGGTCCTTAAGCAATCACTTAGTAGAAAGGAAGTGAAGGAAAATTGGTAGTAATAATGTGGGTCTTTCAGAAACATCTCTACCTTTCTGGGTAAGGGTAAGATCTAAGTACACCCACCTTCCCCAGGCCCCATTCATGGGACTTTACCCGGTTGTTGTTATAGTATTGGTAAATATAGACGTAGGAAAAGCATTACAGAGGAAAGATTGACTAAGTGTCAAAGGAGCCTACCTCACCTTCTCAAGGATTAAGCGAGGACAGAATTGTCAGAATAGATTAAACTTGACTAAAATTCTTTATCGGGTCATTAAAAAAATGTAATACTCCATGGGTGGCCATAAGGGCATCGAACATGTACGATTGCAAGGGCCCCCAAATTTTAGGGGCGGGAGAATTTAGATTCTAATACTGAGAATTAGATTAAGAATGTGTGTTGGTTGAGTTAAAACCTAAAATAAAATAACGTTTGATCTTGAGATTGAGATCCTTTCCTTCTTTATTTCTTTTAACTAATTTAGACAAAGATTGCATTCTATAAAAACATAAAAGCCTAAATTTCAAATTTTATATATTTTGGATTAAATGTTCCAAGTTCTCTTAAGCATGTCTCAAAACTTACCAAGATTTAGAGCTATAGAATTATAATGTTAATTTGCTAATTCTGATAATTAATGAAAGCTTATTACACTATGTTGTTTATATAAAAATCTTTGTTTCTGTAAGAATGTTGTGTCTTTCCGTAAAAGATTGTGTGTATATTTTTTTCTTAATTTATCTAACTTCCTTTGAAATTGTGTTTATATGTTTTGCCATGAAAGAACACAATGTCTTCATTTTGAATCTGTGTGTGTGTGTGTGTATACCGTATACACACACATATATATTTGTGTGTGTATTTTGCAGGTGAGAATGCTCTTAACGTGAGAAATGAGAATGGTGTATATTTTGTCCAGATGAACATTTACATTATGGTGGTGCATTTTTGCAGCGGCATAAAAGTTTGACTAATTTACTAAAATGCCACTGTGTTTTTCCAAATTTTTGCTTATTTTTATAATTTTTATGCCCCTTAGATCTACACTCTAATGCACCACATGCATTCTCAATTCTATAATTAGATCTAAAACATATATATATATAGATTTTGGTTCTGGTGAGAATGCGATCTTAGGAGAGAAATGAGAATGAATCTGGTGCTTTAGATTGTACGATCTAAGGTCAGGATTGCATCAAAATTAAGTGCAACAAAATGGTTTGAAAATGCATCAGGTCGAAATGCATCATAATCCTTTGAAAATGCACTATCTCAAAATCTGAGCGCAGGATGCAATCTGAGCCGCACGATGCATCAGATCCAATGGCTAGATTTCATTATCATTTCTCTCCACAAGGTGCATTCTTACAAGAACTGGCCCCTATATATATATATATATATATATATATATATAGGGATTGACTCCGGTGAGATGACACCTTGTGGTAAGATGACATGTTTCAGTCAGATGACTGTTATACCCGAGACCCGGGGTATAATCAAGTTGCTATTTGAAGATGGAATTATGGGATGGTGAAGAGGAAATGAGGGAGACAAAATATGGGGGTGGAACAAAGAGTTGTTTTTTTGGGTTTTTGATGAAAGAAAAGAATAAGTTCAAGAAGAAGAAATGGTGAGAAATGAAATTGGCAGAGGTAAAGTGAAGGGATAAACCAAGTTGGTGTTAAGAGATATTACACACTCTTATCTTAACTTGGGGTTAAGTCTAGAACTTAATTAAGATATAACACACTTAATTAAATATCTAGAACCTAAAACTCACACTTAAGATAACCACTCTTAAGATATAGATTTAGGAATTTAAATAGCAAACACAACAAGTGTATTACTAAATGGAAAATGGAATTACAATGTGAGTCTCACAAAAGGGCCTAAGGCCGAAATAAATACACACACATAGGGGGGAAACTTCCCTGAAACATCCACTCACAAATCACAAGAATAATATCCATTTGTTTATGTTTTCTTAATGGAATGAAATCAGGGATTTGGTCTTTGATTTTCATGGCTGGTGGCTTGTCCTTTAGTGAGGAAAATCACAAGGAAATAAGTGATGAT